AATAAATGGGCTTAATTTAATTTAAAATTTATTCGTTAGGTATTAATTGGTATTCTTTTCAGCAAACCCTTTCATTTAATATCCATTTCATGGGGGTGCATAGAAAACATAGTCCGCCATTGTTGGGAGTCTGCCATGTTGTATTTGGAATAAATAAATATGTTGGGACTTTAACACACAGCACCATCTAGTTCCATGGTAAGCTACGAGGCTTGTGTTATGGATACCAGATAGTTGATACACTACACATATATAAACTTTAAATACATACGTATTATAAATATAAACACCCATGACTGGAGTACTAACATTCGTGCTCATCACACAATGAATGCCCCCAGCGGGACTCGAACTCGCGACCGCTGGCACAGCAAGTAGGGTCACTACACACTGAGCCAAACGTGTCAGAGAATGACGTCACTTATCTAACCATGCATTACCATCCAAACTAAACGTGTATGCAAAATTTCAGCTCAATCTGTTGAGGCTAACTGCTATAAAATTCAGTTGCAAGATTTGACCCGAATAAACATTCATACAAACATTGCAAGTTAAATAAAAACTTATAAAAATAACATAAAACATAAACTCAAAGGAGAATGGAAAAAAAGAATATTGATTTTTCTCTTCAATTATGTCATAACTTATATACAAATCCCTGTCGTATTCGAAATTCTTTCAAGCAGTAATCGAATTCGTGACCTCAGTATTAGACACGTACAAAAGTTATTACGAAAAGATGGTCATCTTTTGTTTCTTAACTGAATATATCATTGTACATATATCTATACATATAATGAAATTGTAACAAAGCCGAATCTTTATATTAGATATTTTTTTGGAAAATCTTATTAAAATAAACATTATTATCGATACAGAGCCCGAATCTATAGTTTTTAGAATTTTTGTCTGTCTGCCTGTCTGTCTGTCTGTCTGTCTGTTACCGCATTACGGAAAAACCACCAGAGGGTTTTTGATGAAATTTGGTATGATGATAGCTGGTTATCCCGGTCAATATATAGGATACTTTTTACCTCGAGAAAATATCTAATTTCTAAGAAAAAATACAAAAACTGCATTGTAAGAGTATACTAATATGTAAAACCTAAGAATTCGCTTTTTGGTCATCTGAACGCGAACGAAGCCGCGGGCAACGCTTGTTTAGTATTTAATCCATAAGTAACTTTCCCATACTTGCTCTACAGCATTAGCATATAACTTTTTACATACCAAGAAAACTAGTTCTTACATGAATATGAAAAATAACCAAGACAACACAAGAAATAAAAATTTGTCAAAGAATTTTCATAGGTACCTTTAATTAAAGTTTCAGCGTTTACGTCCTATATTAAAACTTACAAAGTATTTCACTTCAAAATATAAGTCTCAATAAAGTTTTATGTAATCTACTCATACATATAATAAAATTGTAACTACGAAGAATCTGTTCACTAGATATTTTTTGGAAAATCTTAATGAAATAAACATTATTATCGATACAGTGAACCAATCTATAGTTTTTAGATTTTTTGTCAGTCTATATGTCTATAGTCTTTGAATTTCGATGATATTTGGTATGGTGAGCTGGTTATACGGGTCAACATATATGAACTTTTTACCGCGGGAAAATATCTAATTTCTGAGAAAAAATACGTAAGAGTATACTAATATGTAAAACCTAAGAATTTGGTTTTTGGTCATTTAGCATTAGCATGGCCCCGGCTCCGCCCGCGTTCAGATGACCAAAAACCAAGTTCTTAGGTTCAAAAATTAAAATTACTTTTCACATTGAAAACATTGAATCATTAAAAATACATACAAACCTAAATTTTAACCCTTCTACCACCAACCCCTATCTTTTAATAGCAATATTAGTCCTTACATTATTTTCTACTCTCGGAAATCTATACTAATCTATTAAATATATTAATAGTTTACCTATTAATATATTATAATCAATCTCTATAATATTATAAAGAGGTAAAGTTTGTGAATTGTGAGTTTGTGACGTTGTAGTGGGTAATCTCTGGATCTACTGAACCGATTTAGATAAAATTTGGTAAGAAAATAGTTTGAGGCCCTGGGAAGGACATAGGATACTTTTTATCCTGGAAATCATGCCTTAAGGGGGTGAAAACGGGAATGAAAGTTTATATGGGGAACAACCTAGGCACGAACCCGAGCGAAGCAAGGGTGAATCGCTATATAACATAAAGTAAAAGATTTTTTTTTTTGTAGATTGAACACCGGTGAAATTGCGGGTTCTGCTAGTATTAATAACATATTATAGTGAGTACAAAATATTACGTTGACAATACAAGAACAAAATGCAAAAACCTTAATACAAAGCCTGACACCATTTTACTGGAACTTATGCGATAAAACGCGTGTGCTATCCGCTCATATAAAGTACGCTAGCAAAAAATTACCGCAGCGCTTACGGCCTCTTTATACGATACTACAATACTGGTATATTGTTCAGAAGCGGTATTTTTGTTGTTTGTTTATAAGTTACAGAACAGTGAATGTGGTTTGGTAAATTGTAAATGAAGGAATAACAATCTTTTAGAAATTTTATCACTTATAGAATTGCTTAAGTGCGTTCGGTGCGTGTCTAGATAGCTTTTGTTTTTATAATATTACTAGCACTGCCCGCGGCTCCGCCCGCGTTCAGATGTTCAAAAACCAAATTCTTAGGTTTTACATATTAGTATACACTTACATTGCAGTTTTTGTATTTTTTCTCAGACATGAGATATTTTCCCGCGGTAAAAAGCATCCTATATGTTGACCCGGATAACCAGCTATCGCTATACCAAATTTCATCAAAATCCCTCCAGTGGTTTTTCTGTGATGCGGTAACAGACAGACAGACAAACAGACAGACAACAATTCTAAAAACTATAGATTCGGCCGCTATGTCGATAATAAAGTCTATTTCAATAAGATTTTCCAAAAAATATTCAATGTACAGATTCGACTTAAAATTTTATTATATGTATAGATATACACGACATTACAGGACGTTAGATGACTCGTTTGGCTCAGTTTGTAGTGACCCTACTTGCTGAGTCAGCGGTTGCGGATTCGGGTCCCGCTGGGGGCATTCATTTGTATAATGAGCACGGATGCTTGTACTCCAGTCATGTTGTTTTATAGTACACAAATGCGCAGACACAAGTACACTATCTATTCCTGTCACTCTCATACTCCGGTGGGATGACTACTCGACACGACTGGCGAGAATTACGGAACCGACGCGACACATGCTCTCCGAGGCACGAGGATGAAACACCACCAACTTCTCAACTACGGGCTGATACTGAGAGTTTCTTGATAGAAATACTCAATAACTAAACTTGACCCAACCCAGGACTAGAACCCAGAACCTACGGCCGTACAAGCTAACCACTAGACCAACAAGGCAGTTTACAAGTTTGACAAAAGGTGATGTAACTGCAGATATAGCTTGTCATATTTTGAAAGGTCAAGCAGAGTTAATTTTACAACGTGAGTTACTTTTGTGCGATGCAGTTGAATATAAAAATGGGGTCACGTTTGTTGGTGGCGGTGAAACTTAGTGAGTACAAACAATAAATTATTATTTACTATTATTATTCATCAACTAATCTGTCTGTTTGTCACACGGAGAAAGAAATGAACTTCTTATTCTTTCTATGCCTTATATAATTCATATTATATTTTAAGTCAAGTACAATATTGTTCCATATTGCGTCACTAGTAAAATTAAAGCTTTTTTAGTACAAATATTATATAATATATATTTAGTACATAATGGAACGAATTTTACAATCTCAATTGGCATTGGTATTGAAAGTGTAAAAAAATTATAAGAGACTAGCGCCTCACCCTCGCTCCGCTCTGTTTCATCCCTACTTACCGTGATGCGGCCACAGACAGACAGACAGACAAACAAACAAAAAATCTAAAACTATAGTTCCGGCCTCTGTATCGGTCGATAATAATGTCTATTTCAACAATAATTTTCCATAAATATTAAATGTACAGATGCGGCTTAGTTACAATAATTTTATTATGTTTTCCCATAAACTGTAAACGTACGTAGCTTTTTAAAAGCTTATGTTTCCAGCAAATCAAATTGATTTAGTTCTCTAAGCTTCCAGACGTGGTCTAGAATGTTAGTGCATTAATCAGAATACGTCGGTCCAATTGATCTGAATAGAAATCATAAATTTTACCTACATCTTCTATGCTTATAGTAAAATTGTAACTAAGCCGAATCTGTACATTAAATATTTTTTCTAAAACCTTATTGAAATAAACATTATTATCGATACAGAGGCCTAATCTATAGTTTTTTGAATTTTTGTCTGTCTGTCTGTCTGTTTCCGCATCACAGAAAAACCAATGGAGGGATTTTGATGAAATTTCGTATGGTGATAGCTGGTTATCCAGGTCAACATAATATAGGATACTTTTTACCTCAGGAAAATATCTCATTTCTGAGAAAAAATACAAAAACTGCAATTTAAGAGTATACTAATATGTAAAACCTAAGAATTTGGTTTTTGGTCATCTGAACGCGAAATGCTAGTTATTAATAAAGTATATGATGACGTTTTGGAGTTTATTCTCTGTTTATGAAGATTAAATTTAAAAACAGGTAAATTATTAATCAAACATCAAAAAAGAGGTTGAAAAATAATGCCGTTTTGTGTTGATATTTCCGAATGTCACTCAAAGGTTAATAAGTACCTGGGGTGCCAGCTTTTGCTTAAATAATAAGATAAACTTAAAAAGCAAAACCTTATCTAACTACTAAATTTGATACAAATCGTTAGAGCTCTTGCGAGATACACGAAATTATATATATATATATATATATATATATATATATATATATATAAGAATTGCTAATTTAATATTATAAGATATGTAAAAGTAATTTTTAAGTAAATAGATACTGTTTAATATTATTTATATGTCTATAAAAATCTTGCTTGAATTTTAATACTTACAGTTTGCAAATAAAACAAATAGATGAGATTGATAACTTCCACCGTCGTCTCCAGTCCCATGGCGAAAACCCATGGCAAAAGCATAAACTTGATGTCCTGTAACAAAACATTAGATTTTAACAAGCAGTGAGGGCATTTCATTTCATTGGTGATACATAAATAAATATGTTGGTTCATTAACACACAGCACCATATAGATTACTAATTAATATTTGTAAAATTGTAATAATTATAAGAATAATAGCAAAAATTAAATAAATAATATTCCATATTCAATTATAATTAAAATTATAAAAATGTTTAAAGTTAAAAAATATTGTAATGTAATTGGTGCAATTTTCATTTTGTTACTTGTGGGTAGGCTGTCTGTAACAACTATATCTCCAAGACATGTAACACCTCAGTCTCTCCCGTGACCATGGATGCTGTAAAGCATTCGAAACGTCGGGAACCAAAAATCAAAATAAATCCGCTAAATAATCCGAAAAAATAGTTTTATTTAAAAACACAGCACCATTTAGTTCAAAGGAAAGTATCTATAAGTCTCAACTTGAAATGAATTGAAATTCTATTATATATATATGAACTATAAATGAACTTTATTAAAGTAGACTTATAAGCAGTCAAGTACTTATAAAGTCTATTGTATTCCTGTACTTCTAACTTCAGATACAAGGAATTCCCATATAAACTATTTTTCTAGTTTAATATTATAATTTAAAAATTATTTCTTTATGTCCATTCTCTACACTAATATTATAAAGAGGTAAAGTTTGTGAGTTTGTGAGGTTTTTTTTTATTTGAGTAAGTCTAACACCCACAGACATACGTCCGTGCTTTTTTTTGAGTATTTTTATATTTTGTTGTTATTTTTATTTTATTTTATTTGAGATAGATTTGTGCGTGTACAATTTAGAATCAAAAGATTTTGCGAACAAAAAAGAAAAGCTGAACAAAACTATGGGGTCGGATGGACTTTAAGAGTTCACCCAAGTGAGGTTAGAGTATTCTATGCGAGGTTAATAAAAGGTATTTAAGAGTCATGAGTTGAGCTGTGAGTTTGTGAGGTTGTAGGGGTTAATTTCTGGTCTACTAAACCGGTTTAGATGAAATTTGGTAAGATGATAGTCTGAGACCCTGGGAAGGACAGGATAGTTTCCATCCGAGAAATCATCCCTTAAGGAGGTGAAAATGGGGATGAAAGTTTGTATGGGTAACCATCACAGGGACGAACTCTAGTGAAGTGAGTGTGAGTCGAAACGAATACATTAGAAACGTGATGTTCTCCTATTTTGTTTCTAGAGAATGATACAAGATAGCAAATAAGGTGGTACATTGGCTATCAGTAAGTTACTTTTAGAACTTTATAAATTAAGCTAGCAAATCCTGTGTCAGCGGCCGTGGCTTTGAGACCCGCTGGTATGTTGTCTCCTCTCTTATTTTCAGTTTTTATTAATACTATTTGTCTCCAAATTTCTTCTCACTACCACCTATATGCAGACGATTTGCAAATTTATGCCGTGACATCTGTGGCTGATTTACCACAAACAATAGAAAATATTAACAAAGACCTCTCCTCTATAGCTACATGGGGTAAATCGTACGGCCTTAACTTAAACGCAACGAAATCGCAGGCAATTATTATTGGCAGTCAAAGGATGTTGTCAAAAATTAAAACTATACAAATACCAGAAATATTGCTAGATGGTGTTCAGATTCCTTTTCAGGAAAAAGTTAAAAATCTGGGTTTACTTATTGATCAACACCTGTCATGGGATCCGCAAGTGAGTGAACTGAGCCGGAAGATGTTTGGAGCGATTGCTTCTCTTCGCAGATTGCGAAATTTCCTTCCGATTCCTACCAAAATTGCGCTAGCAAATTCACTCCTACTACCGATTCTTGATTATGCTGACATTTGTTATCTCGACATCAAAGTGGAGCACTTGAATAAACTTGAGCGACTCCAAAATCTTTGTATACGGTTTATTTTCGGCCTTAGAAAATATGACCATGTTTCTCAATTTCGTAAAAAGCTCAAGTGGCTCCCAATCCGATTCCGCAGGAATACTCATATTCTTCATCTTCTCTACTGCGTGCTGTTTAACCCTTCAACTCCTATTTATCTGAAAGAGCGTTTTGAGTTTCTGGATGATTCCCATGCTCGTTCACTTCGTTCTGCTCAAAATTTCCTTCTTAAAATTCCTACTCACTCTTCCTGTTTCTTCACAAATTCTTTTACAGTAAAAGCTGCTCGATTGTGGAATTCTATTCCTTTAAGCATTAGATCTGCTAAAAGCTTAGATAAATTTAAAAAGTTATTAAAAGATTATTATATGTCTCTTTAAGTCTTTCCCTTAGTCCTTTCTCCTAATATCATCGTTATTATTATTTCCTCTATTATGTTCTAGTATCTAATCCTATTTATTTTTTGATTGATTTTTTCTTTTTTATGTGTGTGTGTAAATTTAACGCATATAAGTATGTATGAATGTATGTATGTATATATGTATGTATGTATGTATGTATGTATGTATGTATGTATGTATGTGTGTATGTATGTATCTATTTATCTATAAGTATTTATATATAGTAAACGTGTTAAAGCAAGTACACCGCCTACCGTTTTTATAAACATTTACTCCTCCACTTCAAGGTTGCCTGGAAGAGATCGCTTCCAGCGATAAGGCCGCCTGCTGTGCATCTTTTCTTTGTATTGTTTTTTTTATTTTATATTTATTTTGGTGTACAATAAAGAATATTATTATTATTATTATTATTATGTTTGTACTCCAGTCATGGATGTTTATATTTATAATATGTATATTATATACAGTAATATGTTTTTAAAGTTATATAATATTATGTGTAGTGTATAAATATCTGGTATCCATAACACAAGCCTCGTAGCTTACCATGGAACTAGATGTTACTGTGTGTTAATGTCCTAATATATTTACTTATTTATTTAACGTAACCTACTGAGTTTAGCTATAGTTAAGAACTAATGAGTTGATCTCATAAATATGTATGCATATATTTTTGTATATCAAAATTGGTCTCACCGTTTAGTAGTAGAAAAATGATGAACACAAGTATAGGATTTCTGCAATAAATGCGAAACTTTGTATGTGTGCTCAATACTCTTCCACGCTGTAATAGCTGAACGGTTTTGGGTGAAAGTACAAAGAAAATAATGACTTAAAGTAATATAGACTACAAGCAGCTCACCCTCAAAGCAAAAACAAATCTATCCCACGGGAACCGTACATTTTTCCGGGATAAAAAGTAGTCTATATGTTATTCTGATGTATGAGCTATATTATTGTAAGGTTTCATCAAAATCCATTCAATAGTTTTTGCGTGAAAGAGTAACAAACATACATCCATACATACATTCTTACAAACTTTCGCGATTATAATATTAGTAAGACTATTACAAATAGAATTTGCCAAAAGATGGCGCTACCTACATTTAAATACAAATCCAGGGACGCTTCTGAGCTAGGCGAAGGTCAGTCAAATATTCGAGTAAATCTTTAAATATATTATATATATTGATCATAATAATATTAATCGTTATAAATTGATCGATTCCTTTCCACGTGAATACGAATAGAATGGTAAATTTTACATTTACAAATCTTTCAAGAGTGATCTTTTAAAGCAAAATCTATTAACAGTACCGGCTACAAGTGAACTTTTCACAACAATGAAGTATTCAAAGTTGATATATAAAGGAAATCGTATTGTGTATCGAACAATTTATTGAATGTAAACGCTAGAAGCAGAAAAAAACATGTGATAAGAACACAAAGTCAAATATAGAGAGTGCTCTGCTTCTTGTAATAAAATTTTATAAGTCAAACTACCTACAGGTTCTCTCGCAGCTACAATCGTAATCCTTCGCTCTGCTTTATGTAGGAACGCATAAAATAATAAATTTACGTCATAATTTTAACTTATATTATATTATTTTTGTAATAAAAAGCCTATTTGATACCAATAGGTAATAAAGCTCAAATTGACTTAACTGGGTTAAAAAATGTAAAAATATATACATATAATAAAAATGGTACTAGAGTCGAATCTGTACGTTAAATATTTTTTTGAAAAATCTTATTGAAATAGACATTATTATTGATACGAAAGCCGAATCTATGGCTCTTAGAATTTTCGTCTGTCTGTCAATCTGTCTACTTATCTGTGACCGCATCACGAGAAATCACTGGACAGATTTTAGTATTATTTGGTATGATGATAGCTGGTTATCCGGGTTCAAATATAGGATACTTTTTATTGAAAATGATGGAAAATATCATCTCATCTCTAAGAAATCTATACTAAACGTTAAAACATAACTAGGGACGAACCCAAATGGAGCGAAGATCTAGAAGTCTAAGTATCCTAACCTTTGACAGATTATATTTCTTCATCCGCTCCCTACATATGTTATTTACTTAAGTTTAAATAAGTAACAAAGTAAGAAGGCCATCTGACTGTAAAGAAACTAATTAAAAGAAGAACAAGTTTGTTACAAACAGTATCAACTTACTTTGCGAATGTCGCTCTTGTTTATTTACAGTAATTTGTACTGTTGTAGGGAATATGCATAATATAATTTCTAAAATAAAACACATTTTGCTTTATTATATCATACTAGCATTGCCCGCGGCTCCGCCCGCGTTCTGATGATCAAAAACCAAATTCTTAGGTTTTTATGTTAGAATACTATTACATTGCAGTTTTTGTATTTTTTATCAGAAATGAGACATTTTCCCGCTGTATAAAGTATCCTATATGTTGACCCGGATAACCAGCTATCACCATACCAAATTTCATTAAAATCCCTCCAGAGGGATTTTGATGAAATTTGGTATGGTGATAGCTGGTTATCTAGGTCAACATATAGAATACTTTAAACTGCATGAAAATATCTCATCTCTGAGAAATCTATACTAAACGTTAAGACGTAAGTAGGGACGAACCCGAGCGGATCGAGGGTGAGTCGCTAGTTGTTTTGATATATCTCTAAAGATTTAGCCAACGTTAGCCGTTTCGCTGAGAGCGGTTAATATTTTTAAATCTGTGATATTTTCTAAGATATGAATTTTAATGATATGCTGTAAAGTGCAATTTTGATCTATATTAAATGCACAATGTATTTAACTTTTTTAATAATTGTATAAGAAATAATACTGTATTGTTTAATATAGCTTCGTAAAAATCCATTATTTCTTAATGTGGGTTCATTATCATTACATTTTCTGTAGATCTTTTTAAGATATACAATTTCATATTATATATATATATATATATATATATATATATATATATAAGTTTAATAAACAGACCAAATCAAATTATGCCTTAGAGCATGTGAAAAACATGGACATACATCTATAAACATCCCAAATGGTGATAGTTAAATAAAACTTCTTGGGAATAAGATTCAACAAAAAAGCTACTCGAAGGCCAAAAATGTTTAAAAGTACCTAATCTATATTTTTAAAAGATATTATAATTATTGCTCTTCTATACATATAATAAAATTTTGCGTCGAATTTGTACATTAAATTTTTTTTAGAAAATCTTATTGAAATAGTCATTATTATCGATACACAGGCCGAATCTATAGTTTTTAGAACTTTTGTCTGTCTGTCTGTCTGTGATCGCATCACGAAAAAATCCTGGACAGATTTTGATAAAATTTGGCATGATGATAGCTAGTTATCCGGGTCAACATATAGGATACTTTTTACATATTTGAGAAATCTATACTAAATGTTAAAACGTTAAGTATAAATTGTTCAATAAACCAAACCAGTTGGCGAAAATATTATTCACTTTATTTGAGTACCTCTTTCTTTGAGAAGTCTATCAAGACTTTATCGCTATATACGAGGATCGTCTTAATATAGCAGCATCTAAAAGAGGTATAACTCATTGACTTTGAATAGCGCTCGTTGATACTCTCTCTCGCGTTTCTTTAGCGGATGTCACCTGATATAGTTTGAAATTGAGTAAAGCAAAACTTATTTAAGCATTTTGTTAAAAGTTTCTTGGAATAAAAAGCTTTCATTAAATACAACACACTATCAATAAATAATAATATATATGAACAAATAATATATATATATATATATATATATATATATATATTTATATAAATATTATGGGAGATTAACACGCAGCACCATTTTCTATATGAAATATCTAAAAACCTTAGTTCCTCCCGTAACCATGGTAATAGCTGTAAAGCATGTATAAATTTTGAAAAAAAAAATTTAAAAGCGCGACTAAAACATCGATTTCAAACTGTATCGATAATAATGACTCTTTCAATAACATTTTCCAAAATTATTAATGTACAGATTCGACTCAGAATTTTATTATATGTATAGATAGATAACTGGAGTCACTATCGACTCGCTAACACTTCGTAAAATGACTCTCCGTCTCTATAACTTTAGTATCACTATACAGGGTCGTTTTTAATTTACTGAAAACCTTTTGGGAATATACTATTTACATCATAACAACAACATCTGTAATAAGAAAAAATAATATTTCTTAAATTTTACAAAAATAAATATATGTATTTTTATTGCACCTTCTACATGGTTCCAGCAATTAACAAAAGAAAGCGCGTGACCGGTGGAGGGGTGTACTGAGCCATCCAGATTCTAGAACTTTACCGTTTAGACTTTAGAAGGTGCAATAAAAATATTTTTATTTTTGTATGAAAATAAAAAATTAAGAAATATTATTTTTTCTTGTGAAAGATGTTGTTGTTATGATGTAAATAGTATATTCCCAAAAGGTTTTCAGTAAATTAAAAATGACCTTGTATATTTCAAAAAAAAAAAATAGCGCGTTTCATCAAATTATAAAGCAATAGTTCACAATACTAAATTTTTGTTTATTTTTGAGCTTTATATTATACTTGAAGCTAAATGTTAACAAAGAGATTAAATTACGTAAGTCATTGAATAAGATTCAAAACTACGAATTTTAACAGAGTAATTTTTCAATGGCACGAACTGTGCAAGTTGAGCTTCACGAGTACTTACATATTTCACGAGCTTTTTTCATAAAAGTATAATTTTAGATTTTTGAAGCTAAATTGTGTTTCTAATTTATAAAAATGGCGCTTTTTCCTTTGACATCTTATATTTTGCACTTTTAATTATTTTAGAGAAAAATGGTTGTAATATTGAATGTTATTCAACACTACTAATACTTTGGTTACATATAATTCGTTGTCAAGGAAAAGATATTATTGATATCGTGTGTCGCATGAAGTCGCATTTTTTAGTTTTAGATCACCAAAGTTTTAGACTTTTAAATAATATTATCCACTGTCGTAGATTTTTTTAGCTTTTTTGTTCTCGACGATTCTCTTGGGATATCTGATTTATTTATGTACCGATATTTTTAACTAACGAACGTTTTTTTTTACTGACTTTATAAATTCTAACAATATTATAAATGCAAAAGTTTGGATGGATGGATGTTTGTTGTCAATCACTCCAGAACGGCTGAACTAATCTGGATGTTTAGCACCGAGATAGATTATAGTCTGAAATAGCACATAGGTTACTTTTAATCCCGGAAAAACTTACGTTTCCCGTGAGATAGACTTGTTTTTGCTTTGCGCTAGGAACAACCCCGAGCAAAGCAAGGGTGATTAACTAGTATGACATATTTGTGTTATCCTAAGAAAATATCTACCCGTAACTATTTGCAAGTAGTAGGTATATGGAAATTCTAATATATCTTAGAAATCGATTAAGCAAATATTTGTGCAATAAATTATTTACATTCTTGATGCATGTTTGTATATAGTATATAAGACAGTGGAATTTTGTTTATAATTTATATAATACATATAATATATAGGTAAGTATATTTACCTTGTACACACCAAATACAAGAAGCACGCAAGCGATGAGTCCGAGTGTGCTACACGCCAGCAAAGTAATGTTCAGAGATACCGTAACTGAAAGAGAAAAATATTAATTAATACTAAAATCACAAGTTATACAAGATTTTTTCTTGAAATTTATATGTGACCTTTCAAATAACTTATAATATTTATAATAAAAGAGAATGAAAATGCGATAGAGGCATTCATAGAAAAGCATAAACCCAAATTGAATATTTCTTTAATTATATTGAATTCGGTCAAAAACCAATAACCAAATTTATTTTAGTATTATTCGAATAATGTTCGGAATTCGACTATAATCATTATTGAAATTTCAAGAAAAACATATATAAATAGAATTTATCTATAGATAATTGATAAGCAGAGGAGAATATGGTACTGAATTGTTTGGTTTTTGCCTATTTATATATAGACTAGCTCATCCTCGCTCCGCTCGGGTTCGTATTTAGGTACTTTTTAACGGTTAGTATAAATTTTTTAGAGATGAAACATTTTCCCGCAGTAAAAAGTATCCTATATGCTGACTCGGATGACCAGCTTTCATCATACTAAAATTCATCAAAATCTGTCAAGTAGTTTTCTTGTGATGCGTTCCCAGATAGAAAGACAGACAAAAAATCTAAAAACTATAGATTCGGCTTCTGTATCGATAATAATGACTATTTCAATAAGATTTGTCAAAAAATCCAGCCAGCCAAGTGATAGCCGATACAAATTAAAGCACACCAACTTCGAAAATATCGGATTAGGTATCTATTGAAAATGAAAACCCCCGTTTAGTTATTTTTTACTTTTTAGTGCCCGGAAGTCTCTATTTAATTTTTGTTAAAAAGTTTTCAATATTATATTTCTGTTTGTCAACGATTGTAAAATCACATCTTGTAAAGCCTTTTAGTTCAAGATGCAATTGACTTCAAGACTACAGATTTGTTTTATTAAATTTGATGATGATGTTCTCCTAGCCGATTCCGGCCACGGCGGCCAATCTCAATGAGATTAGCCAACTGCGCAGGAGATATTATAGTGCTCAAGTGTACGCGCAGACACAAGTGCACTCTCTATTCCTATCACTCTCATACTCCGGTGGGACGACCACTCGACACGACCGGTGAGAGTTAAGGCGCAGGACCGACGGCTTTACGTGCTCTTCGAGGCACGGGGGTGAAACACCGCCAACTTCCCTACTCCGGGCTGTTACTGAGACTTACTATACAGGAAGACTCAATAACTAAACTTGGCCCGACCCGGGACTTGAACCCAGGACCTCCGGGTGTGCAGCCGTACATGCTAGCCACTACACCACCGAGGCAGTTAAATTTATCGATCTATTAAATCGCACTGAGTCGCATTGACTCTTAAGTATCTCGAAATGTCTTTGCAGACGTAGCCGTAGCAATTTCTATTTATTAGTAGTTTGTTGGGCAAATAGAACAATATGAGTACCTACAATGCCATGATTATTAAATGGTTATTTTAAAGTCGAAGATGACGTTTCCATTGTATTTATGAAATTTGTTAAAACCTTTCTTAGCTACCATGCTACCTTTGTTATTAAAAGCAGTAGAAACTACTTTTTGCCCGCGATTATGCTCGCATGATAAGCGAAAGGGATGAAAAGTGAGCTATATCCGTCCCAATGATACAATCTATATCCTTATCAAAACGAGAAAAATTATTCAACTGTTTAAGCATCAAAGGATAGAACAGACAGATTTAGGTACATTTAAAATATTAGTACGAATTCTTACGCAACTTTTCTTGTTTCTAAACTCCACTGAGCTTAGCTTTTAAATAGTCTATCAGTAAGTCAGAGTTTTATTAATTAAGATATAACATTGATTATATATTGATAATTTTACACATATAAATTATCGAGCGGTTCGTTCTTCTGTCGTTAAAACCGTTAGATAAGTAGTTCATAATACGTTTTCAGGTCACTGGTCAGCGCCTATTGCATTTACAGCATTCCATGGATCGAACTGTGTTCATCTCTATTCATTTATTTTTTGGTATAATGAAAAATACCGTAACATAAAAATGGTCTTAATATTGCAAAGCTCTCATTAAATTAAATAAATATTTTGGGACATTACCACACAGCACCATCTAGTTCTATAGTAAGCTACGAGGCTTGTGTTATGGATACCAGATAGTTGATACCCGCGACCGCTGACATAGCAAGTAGAGTCACTACAAACTGAGCCAAACGTGTCGGCAAAGGAACTAAATTTCTAAGTAAATGACAATCAAGAATTAAATTAATACGTAACGCATTTGCCAAGTCACTTTTTTTTTTTAACTTTGGGAAATGCATTTACGCACGACGTGTGGGACTCACCGGCGTAATACAGCCAGTACTACCCACTAAAACCCAACAAAACCTTCCCCCGTCTTAATGGGGCGTCGCAGGATCGCTTACGCATTCAACTACGACGCCCCGACGGCAGGTCTGCCGAAGCAGACCACAACAACCACGGGGTTGCTCCACAGTCCAATCTGCTATCAGAGAAGTACCAGGAGCAACCCGCATGGTACACTGTCCTCCGAAGAGGGCCACCTCCCACCGCCCACCGAAGTGGATTTGCCAACCCACTAGGTCCTAACCTCCTAAGAACACTAATTTTAGAAAAAAATACTTTTAAATAAAAAAGTTAGGATATTTAATTTAAAAGGGAAAGAAAGGATTTCTATAGGTTTTTTACATAGGATGAGCCGTTCTGGAGATATTGAATAAAACGCGTTTCTCGCGATAGGATACCAGCGCCACTCGAGCGACCCCTCAAATTTGGCTTTAGACAGGGAAAATGCCCCATTATCGAATGGCAATATCGCGGAAATTGCTTTATTTTATGTATATTAATTCACGTATTCACTGGAATATAATAGTCTCTTCAAATTAAACCTTGACCACGCGGACTAAAATTTAGATAATATTAGCGGCTCACCCACGCTTCGCTCGGGTTCGTCTTTAGACAAAAAAAAACAAATCTATCCTACGGGAACTCTTTAATTTTCCGGGCTGTAAAGTATCTAAAATGTTGACCGGGTATATAAGGTATCACCATGCAAAATTACATTTAAATCGGTCCAAAAGTTTTGGAAATTAGCCCGTACAAACAGACAAACAGACAGAGAAACAAAAAAATTGAAAAAAAATCTACATTTGTATTATTTCTCTTCTTACCTCCCCCTGATTTGGTTTTTAGCATTTTTTTTCTATGTACCGACATTCGACCTCTACAGTTTCATTATTTGTATAGATTTTGCCGGTTTAAATACTAGTCAATAAAATCAAACTTATAAAAGCTCCCATCAAAGCTATTTTAGAGCTTTTACATTCGAATTGTATAAGTAATTAACTTTAATTTTGAATTACAAGCAAATCTCGGTTTTGTTTTACGTTATTAATTGTTTACAAACTAATTTACCTAATGGAAGCCTCTTTATTGCTTAATATTAATTTGAGCGATGAACAAATAAGAGTCGATAGAGAACCTATTGGGAGTCGTACTTATATACATAAGCTAGAAATTGTATTGCTATACGGGTGAAAGTTGTTTCATGTATACATATAATAAAATTCTGATTTGAATCTGTACATTAAATATTTTTTTGGAAAATCTTATTGAAATAGTCATTATTATCGATACACAGGCCAAATATATGGTTTTAAAATTTTTGTGTGTCTGTCTGTTTGGTAACGCATCACGGGAAAACTACTAGACAGAATATGATGAAATTTGGTATAATGATAGCTGGTTATCCGAGTCAACATATAGAATACTTTTTACTGCGAAAAAATATCTCATCTCTGAAAAATATATACTAACACTTAAAATGTATTTAGGGACAAACCCGACCGGAGTCAGGGTGAGTCGCTAGTTTAATAATAATTTAAAAGAATATTATTATTTTCTTTAATACACATAAAAATATTATTGTAAAGTACGTGTGATATTCGTTGCCTAGAAATTTTGTAAAAATGGCCTAAAGCTAATATATAACCAAAAATCAAAATAAATCCGCGAAAAAATTAGAAAAAATAATGTTTTTTTTTAATTCCAAACATTTGGCTAAATATAATAAAATATTTAATTATAAAAAATCAAGATTTTAGTGTTTATTAAACTTAGTTTTAATGTTTACGAAACTATCTATATTTCCGACTGACCTAATGACGATATAATTCGTAAATTTTACTACCAGCCATATCATTTGCTATAAACCTAACACACCGCACCTTGCATTAGGTAGATTAATTATTTGAAAAATTAACAAAATTTTACACAACCATACTACTTTAGTAAGAAATTGGTTTGATTTAATGAAATTTAAATATTTTGAATACAAAATAAAATATTCTCACTTTCTACAAGCTGAAATTTAAAATAAAGCGATAAGATAAGTTCTAAAACTCTCGTTTCTAGAGTTTAAAGAACTTTGAGGCGATAGATTAAAAGTGACTTGAACTCTATTACGTTAACTCAAAACACAGCTTAGAATATGAAATTATTATTTAATCTTACTTGGGGTGATCTTCTCCGGCTCCAAAAAGCTTTCGGATTCAGGCTCGGTCATGTCGCCGTTGAGATATCGTTGTTCTACCTCTATGAAGTGTCCCATCGTTACAATTGTAACGGAGAAGTAAATCTGCGAAAGAAAATTTAATATATTTTATATGCTCAATATATTATATAGTACTTATTTTTAACCGAAACTCTGCTCAAAATTTGACTTCATACTAATCTATTACGTCAACTATCTCCATCAGTTTCTTTAATGTTAGAAAATGCATTTACACATACCACCTGCATACAGGTGGTTATGTGGGAACCGCATGGTACAACACCCATCGAGATAGGCCATCTCCCATTGCGTTTCTTGGCTTCGCACCCTCTTGGTCCGCCCCCTCCCCCTCTACACAACAAGCCGAAAGGGTGGGGGAAAATAAGAGGGAGGGGAGGGGGGGCGGAGGGGGGGGGGTTTGGTGAGCTATCTCCATCCTTAATTAACCTTAAGTCAGTAATGAATCAGCATGAAAATATTCCTCTTGTTTATAGTATTGATTAAAATTAGAAAGCTAACATTTAAAGGTACAATACACACGAACGGAAGAACAATGAAAGCTTAGTATATGTTTTCATATAGGTCCGTTTGGTATGGACCTTTAGAAAGACTGAAGGTGGATGCTAGTTAACATACTGTAGCAGAAAAGTTTTGTTTATTTATTTTAATAATTGTCCAGTACAACTTAATTTGATAAGAAACTTTCTTAGCGTTACGCGAATATTTGACATTTTAAATAAAACTATATTTTCGGATTACTTCGCGGATTTATTTTGGTTTTTAGTTCCCGACGTTTCGAATGCTTTACAGAAATCATGGTCACAGGAGAGACTGAGGTGTTAGATGTCTCGAAGGTATGGCTGAGGCTGTTTGTAACAACTATATCCGAAATACGAAATAATCCGAAAAGATAGTTTTATTTAAAAAGAAACCCCTTAGTAATATTACGAGTAACTTGAAAGTTAAACTGTTGCTTTAATATTACTCGTATATTTTAAACATCGACAGTCCATAATTTACTACAAGACTTTTAACGCGTTTCACATTATTTCCCCCTAATTTATTGCCAAACCATAGCTTATACAAAATTATGCCGCGACAACTCACACTTTGGTGATATATTGACAAAGTAAAATCTAAGACATTTCATCATAAATCCTAAACCGCATTACAGAGACCCGTTTCCAGAATAAATAAAATGGTTTTTTTAACAATAAACTGATACTGACTTCGTAGTCATGTTAAAAATTATTATTACTACTGTAAACTGTAAGAGTAAAACTTTATATTTATAATTTATTATAAAGAACTATAAATCCGTGACAACTTGACAAGTTATAACGCAACGTGCCTACGTACATACATACACAAAAATCATATATGTATGTATTCTGTACATACATATAATGAAAGCATGCAATGTATATGTTACAGTCAAAATTAGGTTTGACTAGAAAAGAGTTTTGACTGTAGCATTTTCAAATCGTAAACTCAAATTGCTAAAATTATATTAATTCAGCGAAAACTTTTTCATTAAAAAAATATTGTACCCCCTATACAAATCTATACGTATAATAAAATCCTGAGTCGAATCTGTACATCAAATATTTTTTCGATAATCATATTGAAATAGTCATTATTATCGATACATAGGCCGGGTCTATAGTTTTTAGATTTTTTCTCTCTGTCTGAGAACGCATCACGAGAAAACCACTAAACAGATTTTGATGTAATTTGGTATGATGATATTTTTCTGACCGATTCCGGCCACGGCGGCCAATCTCATTGAGACTAGCCAACTGCGCAGGAGATATTATAGTGCACAAGTGTACGCGCAGACACAACGTGCACTCTCTATTCCCGTCACTCTCGTACTCCGGACGACTGCTCGACACGACCAGTGAAAGTTAAGGCCCAGGACCGACGGCTTTACGTGCTCTCTGAGGCACGGGGGTGAAACACCGCCAACTTCCCAATTTCGGACTGTTAATGAGGCTTACTATACAGAAAGACAAAATAACTAAACTTGGCCCGACCCGAGACTCACACCCAGGACCTCCGGGTGTGCAGCCGTACATGCTAGCCACTACACCACCGAGTCAGTTGTTGTAGTTTGGTATGATAATAGCTAGTTATCCGGGTCAACAAATAGGATGTTTTTTACTGTGGGAAAATATCTCATCTCTTCGAAATCTATACTCAAATTTAACTAGTAGTCTATTATATAGCAAGTAAAATATTATCTCGCAGGGATATTGTTATAGTTTTTACAATTTTACTACGACAATATACAAATTTAATTTTGCTACATCACATTAATGGAGCGAAAACCTTTTGGTTTATATAAAAATATTGTAAGTTCTATACAGAATTTATTTTATCTAGTAAGTAAAATATACGAGTATAGGGGTGTAGACATTTGAAATAAATTGTTATTTAATGCTCGGTCTGGACATAGTAGCTTTTGCTTAGTTTATTTAACAAATGTATTTCATACTAGACGGTGGAATCTTCTTTTTTTTTGAAAGGAAAAGCTGTACAGATATCAATAGGGGCTTTTTTCTATAGAAACGTCGCGTTGCACGAATTTAGCAATATATACATATATAAAATAAAATTCTAACTGATTGTGAGTCGAATATGTACATTAAATATTTTTTTTGGAAAATCTTATTGACATAGATATTTTTATCGATACAGAGGTTGAATCTATATATATATATATATATATATATATATATATATCTATTTTTCTCGTATATTTCTCGTATGTGGTCATGTTATTATATATATCTATTTTTAAAAATTTTGTCTGTCTGGGAACGCATCACGAGTAAATTACGATTTTGATTAAATTTAATATGATGATAGTTGGTGGACCTGGATAGTCAACATATAGGATGCTTTTTACTGCGGGAAAATATCTCATCTCTGAGAAATCTATACTAACTGTTAAAAGGTCCAAACTATATATATATATATATATATATATATATATATATATATATATATATATACAAGAATTGCTCGTTTAAAGATATTAAATATAGATATGAATTTGACACAATATTTAAGAAAAACTTCAGATAGATTGTTTATTAGGCCCTTTCTCTCTACGCATCATCTGTCTCAGACATTGCGTGCTTAGAGACAGTTAATAGCGCTTAGTTTTGTCTATAACCTACTCCATGCATTACCATTAAGGCACGAGCCTACTCAACTATGCCATCTCCATCGCTGTATTTATGTGACTCATTATTCAATACTTCCTTTAACATACGATCTATATCCAATAAAGAATATGCGAATTTTTTTTTTATTTTTTACATATATAGATAAAATCGTTATATAATAACTATAAAAAAATATCCAGCTACGAAAAAGTAAATTTAGTATACAAAAATATTTAAAATGTCATACTGATACGATATTTTTAATATCCGCCATTTTTCGCGCTTGCCGTGACGTCAAAGTATCATACATAGCAAAATAACGACTTTAGTTTGTAGCGAAAAAATCGCTAATCGCTCTGTAATGATCATACTCTGACGTCATATTTGCTCTGACCAATGGCGAGCGTTTTAACCACTTTGAATTCCCACCTACATATGTTTATTTACACTTTTTAATTATTATTTTCTCAATCAAATAAAAACTTAAAAAAACCAACTTCCAGGCACTAAAATGTAAAAAATAACTAAACGAGGGTTTTCATTTAGAATATATACCTAATAATAAGTGCCAGCCGATGCATAGGAAATCTAATACTAAATCTGATACGTAAAATACATATTTACCTATTAGATATTCATATCTTAAAATATTGTCCGCTGGACAAAAAACTGCATAAAAAGCGAACAAAATTGATGAGAACAAGTTGACGAAAGTAACATTGTATTATTCAGTCGGAGACTCACACAGATGAGATATTTTCCCGCAGTAAAAAATAACCTATATATTTACCTAGCTATCGTCATACCAACTTTTATCAAAATATGTCCAGCCGTTTTCTCGATTGATGAATGCATTGCGTTGATGGCGATGTGTCCCCAGACAGACAGACAAAAATCGATAATAACGTTTATTTCAATAAGATTTTCTGAAAAATATTTTATGTAAAGATTCAGTTCAATTACAATTTTATTATATATATATATATATATATAGATTGTATATACAAACCAGTAATCCGTAGTCAATGTTAGTGCCTACTTGAATTAAGCATAAATTAATTTGAGCCAAGTTCATCCATTTTCAATAGGGTGACAAATCTAAGCCATATATATACCCATCATCAATACATATAATAAAATTGTAACTAAGCCGAAACTGTACATTAAATATTTTTTGGAAAATCTTATTGAAATGGACATTATTATCGATACAGAGTCCGAATCTATAGTTTTTAGAATTTTTGTCTGTCTTTCTGTCTGTCTGTCTGTCTGTCTGTCTGTCTGTTACCGCATCACGAAAAACCCACTACACAGATTTTGATGAAATTTAGTATTATGATAGCTGATTATCCGGGTCAACATGTAGGATACTTTTTACCGCGGCAAAATATCTCATTTCTCAGAAAAAATACAAAAACTGCAATGTAAGAGTATATTAATATGTAAAACCTAAAAATTTGTTTTTTGGTCATCTGAACGTGGGCGAAGCCGCGGGCAATGCTAGTGTTCTATAATTGTTGTCTATACCGACTGGCGACTCATATTCTTTAAAAGCTTTAATAATTGGCTATTCTCAGTTAGATTGGCAACCATCATTGGCAACCAAGGACTAAGAATCAAAGACCTAAGAGATCTAATCTAAGAAAAATCTGATCTAAGTACGCTTACAAACAAAGCCAGGTTACATCGCTAGTTATTATACAAACATAAGTCCTGTGCCCCTAATTCATATACAAAATTATAATATCATGTATAAATAATATTGGAATATTAATACATAACATCTAGTTCCATGGTAAGTTACGAGGCTTGTGTTATGGATACCAGTTAGTTGATACACTACACAAATATAACTTTAAATACATACATATTATAAATATAAACCACCCATGACTGGAGTACAAACATTTA